GATGAGCGAATCGAACATGCGAAGTGGAATTCGTTTCGAAGATTCAGGAAAAATTCGATTCGCAGCCGAATCCGAAAATTAGCAAACTTCGGATGCACGAATCGAATTTTCCCAAAAATGGCGGCGACATGTGTGGCGACGGAGCGGGGATCTCTGGGAAGGCGCGCAGACAAGGCGCGCTGACCCATAATGCATTCATTCATGACATGTGATCGCATTAGCCAATCAGCAGCCAGCCAGCCAGCACTGTGTAATGGTGGAGCTATAAAATTGCGGCCATCTTAGAATTCTCCATTAGCCTCCGGTCATTCAAGAGACAGAATCGTTACTCAGGGACACAGAATCGTTACTCAGGGACACAGAATTGTTACTCAGGGACACAGAATTGTTACTCAGGGACACAGAATCGTTACTCAGGGACACAGAATCGTTACTCAGGGACACAGAATCGTTACTCAGGGACACAGAATTGTTACTCAGGGACACAGAATCGTTACTCAGGGACACAGAATTTTTACTCAGGGACACAGAATTGTTACTCAGGGACACAGAATCGTTACTCAGGGACACAGAATCGTTACTCAGGGACACAGAATCGTTACTTACTCAGGGACACAGAATCGTTACTCAGGGACACAGAATCGTTACTCAGGGACACAGAATTGTTACTCAGGGACACAGTGGACACAGAATTGTTACTCAGGGACACAGATTTGTTACTCAGGGACACAGAATTGTTACCAGGGACACAGAATCGTTACTCAGGGACACAGAATCGTTACTCAGGGACACAGAATCGTTACAGGGACACAGAATCGTTACTCAGGGGACACAGAATTGTTACTCAGGGACACAGAATCGTTACTCAGGGACACAGAATCGTTACTCAGGGACACAGAATCGTTACTCAGGGACACAGAATCGTTACTCAGGGACACAGAATCGTTACTCAGGGACACAGAATCGTTACTCAGGGACACAGAATCGTTACTCAGGGGGACACAGAAATCGTTACTCAGGGACACAGAATCGTTACTCAGGGACACAGAATCGTTACTCAGGGACACAGAATCGTTACTCTCAGGGACACAGAATTGTTACTCAGGGACACAGAATCGTTACTTTCTGCTTCACAACCACTATTGAATTAAAGAGTATGTCAGACAACACGCAGAGGAGTGGCAGAGGAGGCAATGTTTCAGGAGCGAGCAGACGTGGCAGCAGAGGAAGGGGTCGAGGGCAGCACTAGTCGCAGCCAGAGGCCAGTGCTCCCGGTGTCATCCAGCGGTCGTGTCTCCACCGACAACCCTGCCGTCATCGATTGGTTGACTCGGTCGTCTTCCTCTTCCCAGGTCACCTCTGACACCTACAGCCAACGGTCGGTGGGTACGTCAGACACAACCGTTAGTTGGCATGGCCCGGGAGCAAGCCCACTGAAATCACGTGTCCTCTACCTGCCCCTGTCCTTTGGTGTTCCCTCACCAAGCGAAGTATCGCATGCTGTGGGCTCAGCCCCACTGTACAGTGAGGAAGAGCTAACAGAGGGCGGTCAGGAACGGGGGGGAGACATCCGCCTCTTCAGCAGCCAGGCGAAGAAGTACTGGCGAGGAGAGTGGCTCGGTAGCCGGTCTAGAGACAGGTCTGTCTCCTGACCCACACGCAGCCGACCGGGGGGCTAGTAGTGACGCGGAGACCCTAATTGATGATGATGAGGCTGATCGCACTTGGCAGCCTCGTCGTCGTCATCAGGCTATTGCTTCCGCATCATCAGGAGAAGAGGGGTGCAGCTTGCCAGCGAGCAAAAAACAGTCGGTGGGTTGCCCAGGAGGCAGCAGGGTCGCAGCAGTGTCAGTGGAGGCAAACGGCCACGGGAGTAGTAGAGCACCAGCTCCACTGCAGCCTACCACCACGGCCAGTAGTGGTGCCGGTGTGCACGGAGGAAGTAGCAGTCAGCCAGTGAGGAGTAGCGGGGGGCAAAGTTTCCTACTCGGCGGTGTGTGTGGCAATTTTTCGTCAAGCCGCCCGAGGAAGTAAACGTAGCCGTATGTCGACTATGTGGCCAGAAAGTCAAGCGTGGCCAGGGGGCCCATGTTGGGACTACAGCGTGCGTCAGCATCAGCATATGCAGCGTCGCCATTCGGTGGCCTGGGAAAACCGTGATAAAGATACGGCGGGTTCTGCCTGCCCCAGCCCCCGCTCCATCACCCGCTCCGTTACTTGCTCCGTCACCCGACGTCAATCGCCCTCTATCAGCCAGTCAAGGCTCCAACACCTCTGCTGAGGGGAGTTGTCGCTCGTTGGCATCTTCCGCTCGTTCAGATGCTCCTTCTCCTGCTACTCCTCTTCACGGATTCCGTCAGCAGTCTTTCTTGGAATCCGTTTCCAAGAGACAACAGTTTGCGAGCGAGCACGCACCCGACGGTGCAGCAGAAGCTGAACGTCCTCCTGTCCAAGTTGCTGGTGCTGCAGTCCCTCCCTTTCCAAGTGGTGGACTCAGCACACCTTTCCGAGAAATGATGGCTTGTGTGCCGAGCCGCGGTGGAGAGTGCCAAGCCGGCATTTCTTCGCCAAAAAGGCAGTGCCAGCCCTGCATTCACATGTAGAAGAGATGGTGGGCCAGTCTTTGAGCATGTCGGTCTCTGCCAAAGTGCACGGCAGCGCCGACGTGTGGAGCTGTAACTACGGTCAGGGACAGTACATGTCATTTACGGCCCACTGGGTGAACGTGGTGCCGGCACAGCCGCACCAGCAACTTGGACAGGTCACGCCGCTTTTGCCTCCACGTTTGCACGTCCTTGGTCCAGCAAAGATGTCCGCCTCTACCACCTCTTCTTCTTCCGCCGTGTCCTCAGCCGCCCCCCCCCCCGTGCCAAGTCCCATTACCCGACCGGCATATCACATGTGCAGGGCGCAACGGTGTCACGCTGTGCTGCACCTGGTATGCCTTGGCGAACGTAGTCACACAGGGGAGGAACTTCTGAGTGTAATGAACAGAACAGAGAAATCGACAGATGGCTGTCTCCGCGCAAACTGAAAATCGGAACCATGTTGACCGACAACGGAAAGAACATGGTGTCTGCTCTGCGTCAAGGAAGGTTGTGCCATGCGCCATGCATGGCTCACGTGTGTTCAATCTGGTTGTCAAGCGGTTCCTAAAATCCACCATCCCACTGCAAGACATCCTTAAAATGTCACGTAAACTTTGCATGCATTTCAGCCATTCCTACACCGCAAAGCACACCCTCCTTGAGCTGCAGCGGCAGAACGGAATTCCACAGCATCGCCTGATCTGCGACGTTGCAACAAGGTGGAATTCAACCCTACATATGTTAGACCGCCTTTTTACGAACAGCGCGAAAGGCCATCACCGATTTCCTGATGTTACAAGCGGATAAAGGTACTCCCCTGTGTGTAACTTAGATGTCAGCCATTGGCAGCTCATGCGTGACACCTGCCGCTTGCTCAGGCCCTTTGAGGAGGCCACGCTATTCGTGATAGTCGGCAGTCGGCAGGACTATGGGATGAACGACGTCATTCCTCTGTTGCACGTCCTGGAACAAATGCTGTTAACAATGGCTGGTCAGGGTGCGGTAGACGTGGCGCACAGATCTCAACGCCACATGACCCCTGTGGGGGCAGGACAGGAAGAAGAGGAGGAGGTAGAGGAGGACATTGGTGCTCAGGAATTATTGAGTGAAATGGGTGGTTTTTCCACTCAGCGGACAGGAGTGGAGGAGCAGGAGCATCTGGTAGAGGAGAGGAGGAGGACAGAGACAGAGGACCCAGACGCACCGTGGCAGTATGCTGTGGGAGATGGAGGCAGGGAGAGTCCCTCGCATTCCTTGGCACAAATGGCCCATAGCATGCTCGGTTGCTTGCGTAGCGACAGCCGAATAATAACCATCAGACAGAGGGATGACTTTTGGCTGTCCACCTTGTTGGACCTCGCTACCGTTCAAAAATGGTGGCCTTTTTCACACCTGCTGAGAGGGAGGCCAAAATAAAGTACTATAAAAAAACCACCTATGTAGTCAGTTGGTCTCTGCCTTTCTGCGCCAACGTCCATCCTCAGACACTGTGGGCCCTGTGCGCGCTCGCGTTCCGCTGCCATGGCAGCAGGGGAGGGGTGGGGGGTGGTAGGAGCAGTGGCAGCTCCACCAGCAGCGGCTGCCTCAGTCTGCAGTCGATGATGAGTAGCTTTCTTCACCAGCGCAGTGAGGAAACTACTAACCAGCCGCAGCAGCAGCAGCAGCATCAGGTGGACCTGGAGCAGGACCTCAAACAACAGGCTCGGGCCTACTTGGACAGCACCCTGCCAACCGAGGTAGACAATCCCCTTGACTACTGGGCAACGAAACTTGACCTTTGGCCCCAACTAGCTGAATTTGCCCTTGAAAGGCTGTCATGCCCGGCCAGTAGCGTGGCATCGGAGCGCGTGTTTAGTGCGGCAGGAGGTATTGTAACTCCGCGGAGGACACGACTGTCCACCCAAAGTGTGGAGAGACTCACGTTTGTGAAAAATGAATCAGGCGTGGATTAGTCTGGATTTCAAACCACCAGTTCCTGACACAACTGACTAAATCCGCCAGCTGCTGCCTCCACCGCCCCTGCGCCATGTGCCTCTGTCGTCTGCTCATGCTGCTGACGGCCAGGCGAGGCCACTGGCTTCAGAATAATGGCCTCCACTGCCTCCCTGCGCATGTTAATCTGAGGCTGCTGCTGGGTGACTGTCATTTAACATACTGGGCCTTCAATTTGGCTGCTGCCAGGCGCTCCGAATCTGCCATGGGCCCCCGTACCGACTCCTCATGCTGCTGCCAGGCCCGTAATCTGTCATGGGCCCCTGTACCGCCTCCTCATGCTGCTGCCAGGTCCCCAAAGTGTGTCATGGGTCCTCTGTACGGCCTCCCCTCTCTTTGCTGCTGTCTCCATCGCCACACTCTGCCATGTGCCACTTTCAGGTCTCCTCTACACTGCTGGTGGGTTCCATTTTTGTCATAGGGTGCTGTATGGCTCCCATTGCTGCTGCTGCCTCCACCGCCACACTGTGGCTCCACACTCTGGTTTTGGCCCCGTGACTGCCCAAATGAGTGAAGTGTGCGGTGATTCTAAGATCGACGGCACTCATCTGCATGTCATACTGTGACTGACAGTATTATTTCTCTTCCCCAGCAGACTCCAAGGGCATTTAAATTAAAGGTACAGTGTTCTGCACTAAAATAAAGGCTCCTCTGAAGCCTAGAAACACCCTTTTTATAAGTTAAATTCGCAGCGAATATATTCGCCTCGAATCGAATTTATTCCCCGCGAATTCGGCGAATCAGCCGAATCTAATTTTTGAATAATTTGCTCATCTGTAATCATAAGCTTAATAATGGCAGCAATGCCAAGCTGCGGTTCCTAAAGCGAGCAAAATCCTCTTTTGTAATTAGAAAGATTAAGGGGGAATGATCTCCATTTATAATTAAGGGGGAATATGGTCGCCATGTATAATATTAAGGGGGGATATGATCTCCATGTATAATACATAAGGGGGGGATATGATCTCCATGTATAATACATAAGGGGGGGATATGATCTCCATGTATAATACATAAGGGGGGATATGTATCTCCATTGTATAATACATAAGGGGGGATATGATCTCCATGTATAATACATAAGGGGGTATATGATCTCCATGTATAATACATAAGGGGGGATATGATCACCATGTATATTACATAAGGGGGGATATGATCTCCATGTATAATACATAAGAGGGGGATAGATCTCCATGTATAATACATAAAGGGGGGATATGATCACCATGTATTAATACATAAGGGGGGATATGATCGCCATGTAAAATACATAAGGGGGGATATGATCACCATGTATAATACATAAGGGGGGGGATATGATCTCCATGTAATAATACATAAGGGGGGATATGATCTCCATGTATAATACATAAGGGGGATATGAATCTCCTTAATATAATACATAAGGGGGATATGATCTCCATGTATAAATACATAAGGGGGGGATCTCCATGTAAATTACATAAGGGGGATATGATCTCCATGTATAATACATAAGGGGGGGATATGATCTCCATGTATAATACATAAGGGGGGATATGATCTCCCCATGTATTAATACATAAAGGGGGATATGATCCCCATGTATAATACATAAGGGGGGATATGATCTCCATGTATAATACATAAGGGGGGATATGATCTCCATGTATAATACATAAGGGGGGATATGATCTCCATGTATAATACATAAGGGGGATATGATCACCATGTATAATACATAAGGGGGGGATATGATCTCCATGTATAATACATAAGGGGGGATATGATCTCCATGTATAATACATAAGGGGGATATGATCACCATGTATAATATACATAAGGGGGGATATGATCACCATGTATAATACATAAGGGGGGATATGATCTCCATGTATAATACATAAGGGGGGATATGATCACCATGTATAATACAATAAGGGGGGATATGATATGATCTCCATAAGGGTTGTATAATACATAAGGGGGGATATGATCTCCATGTATAATACATAAGGGGATATGAATCTCCATTTGTATAATTACATTAAGGGGGGATATGATCACCAGTATAATACATAAGGAGGGGGATATGACTCATGTATAATACATAAGGGGGGATATGATCTCCATGTATAATACATAAGGGGGATATGATCTCCTCAGTGGTTCATACAGTGAACTCGGTGTAGAGTTTATTCACCCTTAGGTAGGTCATCACAGAGGACAAGGGGGGCACTCTTTACATCTGGAGGAAAAAGAGATTTTAATCTCCATATACAGAAAGGTTTCTTTCACAGTAAGAGCTGTGAAAATGTGGAATAGACTGCTGGTGGATTGCTGCTTTAAAAAAGGCCTGAAATCTTTCCTAGATACTCTCAATATAAGGAGACTAACACTTATAGGTAAAGTTGATCCAGGGAATATCCGATTGCCTCTCTCGCGGGATCAGGAAATAATTTTTTTCCCCTGCAGGGAGCAAATTGAATCATGCTTTGCTGGGGGTTTTTTTTTTTGCCTTCCTCTGGGTCAACTATTGGTATAGGATTCTAACTTTTTTTTTTTGGTTTGAACTGGATGGACTTTTGTCTTTTTTTCAGCCAAACTAACTATGTAACTATGAGAAACATGCCAAGGTTGGTAATGAGTAGTAATGACCCGCAGCAGGAGAGACAAGAGTTAGATACTAGCTGGAGAAAATCTTGGAAGTAGGAAGAGCAAGGCAAAGTTCATGGGAGAAGTTCAAGAATCCCAAAAAACAAGGATTGTCCAAAGGATTATGCAGGGAGCTGTGCAGCATTTCAGATGGGTCAGCAAGCAGAGCTACTGCAAAGACACAGCAGAGGTTGTGGGTTCAGATCCCGGGTCCTGAAATAAAGGCAGGTTCCCCATTGGGTCTCTGCTGCGTCATGCCTCCAGGATAAAGCAAAAGCTTCTAAAGTGCACCCTCTAGAAGACCTCTAGTTCATTATATGCCCCTCCAAAGAATCTATATAATACTTTTCTAATGAAATCAGGGTATTTTTCTGAATGTAACATTTAATCCATATTGTTATAAAAAAAAAAATAGATATTAACACTTTTAATTGGAGACTTTTCGACAAGTGAAGAGGGAAAATCTCAAACAAAATGCTATTAATATGCTCTCAGTGAAAAAAAAAAAGAAGAAAGCATTGAAATGATAACTGCCATGAAGTGCTAGACCTACAAAAGAGTATATGTGCCCTTTAAAATATGATACGCTTAGAAAATGCTTTTTTCCAAAGAAACACAAAGAACAATTTTCATCTCCCATTAAAATTAGCATTATGAAACCGTGCAGACACAATATAACCTGCAACACAGTTACTGATGTTTAATCATCTATAAAATTCAAGAGCTTTCTTCAGCTCTTTTGTTCTGTAAAATTATCTCCACACCAGAAAATCATTGTATAATGCATAGAAAATATAAACTTCTCCATTTGTGACACCAATATAGCATTTTTCACTCTATTTTTTTTTCCCCCCTCAAGGCAATTTTTCTGTGGAAGGTGGAGTCCATTACTGTGATATTACAAAAAAAAGAGAAAAAGAAGGAAACGCAGAAGGATGGAAGCAGAGGCTGTCCCTAGGGTTGGTGTCACCCCACCGGTGTGTCACCTGGTGTGATAACACTTGGTGACACCCCCTCTGATGATCCCCGCAGAATGGATCGAATCTGCGCATTGAGCATAATGGATCGGACTCCGATCCATTATGCTCAATGCGCAGATCCGATCATCCTGCGGGGATCGTCAGCTTGCTTTACAACTTACCTTTTCGTGGAGCGGGTCCGGTGTCACCCCCCCGTGCGGTAGGTGTCACCCTGTGTGGCGCGCACCACCCCCTCACACCTGCCTAGGGACGCCCTGGATGGAAGGAATGTCTAGGGTGGATCTCTTGTTGTAATATATTTACCATTTCACACTGCTATAAAGTTTGGAGCAGGGGTGGACTGACTATTTGGAAACTTGGGCACTGCCCAAGGGCCTGGGGTCAGTAGGGGGCCCCATGAGATGCTCCTGGTACCTTTTTCATAGGCTTTTTTGAGTTTGGGAAAGGACACAGGGGCCCCCATGATCCCCTATTGGCTGGGGGCCCCATGATTGTCAGTCCGCCCCTGGTTTGAAGCTGTGATTTGTTGGGGTAAATATGTTAAAATGGGCATTCCATGTGCATTGAAGGGCCCCTTACCCAGCTTAAGTGGTTGTAAAAAGCTGAAGGTTTCTTACCTTCATGCATTCTACGCCTTCTGTGTGCAGCAGTGCCTCCGCTGTCCCGGGACTCTGCCTACTTATTGGCTGAGACAGCTAACGGGAGCCATTGGCTCTCGCTGCTTTTAATCACATCCAGTCAGCCAATGAGGAAGAGAGGGGGTGGGGCCAAGCCTCAGCTCCATGTGTGAACGGATACACAGAGCAGCAGCTCGGGAACACGCCTGCTCGTGTGTCCCCATAGCAAGCTGCTTGCTATGGGGGCAGCCTACAGAAAGGAAGAGCCCCGGCAAGGGACCAGAGAAGGTAAGTATAGACATGTTTGTTATTTTTTTTAAAAAATGAACCTTTATTATCGCTTTAAGTAACATTATTCCAGTTTGATGTCACTTCTTGTGAACTTCAGCAATATTTTCCTTCCTAGCTATCTTCTGTACTACCAATTGCCCATGTAATGGAGATGAAAAGATACGACAAGTTTGTAGTCTGTATCAGGAAAGCAGCCTAGGATGCCCGCTTATGGCTTCCTCCATAGATACAGCGGAGGAGTGAAGTAGCCAGTAACAGGACAGAGGAGGAGTATCAGGGCTGCTCTGTGCAAAACCATAGCACAGAGCAGGTAAGTATAACATTGTTTGTTTGTTTTATAAAGTCAGAAGGTTTACAATGACTTTAAATGGTTATCACTTCCTCCTGGCAGCACTAGGATTGTTGGTTCGAATCCCAACCACAACACCACCTGCTTGGAGCAGGGGTGGACTGACAACTCATGGGGCCCCTGGGCAATAGGGGATCATGGGGCCCCTGTGTCCTTGTCCAAACTCAAAAAAGCCTATGAAAAAGGTACCAGGGGCATCTCATGGGGCCCCCTACTGACCCTGGGTTTCCAAATGGTCAGTCCGCCCCTGGCTTGGAGTTTGCATGTTCTCCCTGTGCCTGCGTGGGTTTCCTCCGAGTACTCCGGTTTCTTCCAAAGACATGCTGATAGGTTAATTGGATCCTGTCTAAATTGGCCCTAGTATGCGTATTTATGAATGGGAGTTAGGGACCTTAGATTGTATGCTCCTCAGGGGCGGGGACTGATGTGAATGTACAATATATACAGTATATGTAAAGGTGTCAAGGTCCTACCTTTTCCCTGAGGTTTTGTTACTCCATGTGCTGGCGTCCATCTTGGATTCTGCTGTGCATGGTGGGAATCCTTTTATGCCTTCAGGTCTCTGAGGTCCTTCCCCCAGAGGGGTGTGGCTGATGACATATAAGCCTGTGGCCCGCACATGCTCTTTGCACTTGTGTCTTGTGTCTTTGTCTTCCTGCAGCTCTGTGTGTGCGCTCGTGGCTCTTCTG